CCTGTGAATTACCCACAAGTCCAGGATGCCTTTTCTCTCCACCAAAGCATACGCTGCCAACCCTACCCAGAACATTCTGAGCCACCTCAGGCTGCAAGGAAGGACTGGGGTTTTCCCCACTCAGTCTTGTGGGTGCAGCCCTGGGAATGCTACACATAGGGGCCTCTGCCTTCAATACTCATTCTCTTTCCATCCTTGAGGTTTTAACCTTAGAGACCACTTCCCAATACCCCAGGAAACCAGGCCTGCCAGCTAAGTATAGGGCTTAGCTGCACAGAGTGGAAGAGAACATGGTGAAGTCAACCCCGGGAACAGAGGAGTTGTGCTTTCTCACTCTCTCCAATTTATTTGTATATTATGTGTATGAGTGTTTGCCGGCATGAATGTATGTGCACCACATGTGTGCAGTGCCCATGGATGCCAGAGAGGGCACTGGATTCCCTGGAGTTACAGCTGGGTGTGAGCCACCATGTGGGTGCTGGGAACCAAACCCAGGTCCTCTGCACTCTTAACCATTGGGCCATCTCCTCAGAACCAGCAGGGGCTGGACTTACCTGATGTGCATAAGGTTCTCATCCATACTCCAGGGGCTCTTGGGTGTAACAGGGATGGGGATTCCATGTTGCTGCAGATGAAGACAAAAAGGTCATGGTGAGGCTCCTGGAAGAGCACATGAAGGTCACACTCCACAGCCTGGGATCCCTCGAGGTGCCAGTTAGCACTCAAATCTTGTCCCTCTCCCCTCCCCAGGCTACCTATCGAGGCAGGGAGGGCCTTAACTACTTGAGTGCCCTCATTAATCAGAAGACAGCAGAAGGGAGGCTGACCTTGGAGTTCTTTCCAGAAGATATCATGAGCCCACACTCCCAGGACCCCTAGAGGCACTTAGTGGCAGGTACTGGCTCAGCATTTCTTGACATCTGCTCCTGATACCCACCATATCCTAAAATCTGGGGGCAATAATAGCCTAAGTATCTACCATGCAACCTCAAGTGGACCACAGAGGCATCCATCCTGAACTGGCTTCATGTGGACATCATGAAAGGAGGAAGACCTAGAGGAACCTCCCTTGCAAGGCATCCCCTGGGAGCCATCCCTCCAAGCCATGCAATCTCTCTGCAGACCCTAAAAGTAGAGCCACACAGCCTCCACCTCCATTAGTTGTGACTTGATGCTATTTGATTTCCAAATGGTCCTCACCATTGCTGAAGGAGATCTACCCAGACCCCAGGCTAGGCAGTGACTGGCCATCCTTGAAAGTCTACTTTGCTCAGTTTCTAGGGGAAAGAGGAGGTGACTGTCCTAATCACCATGTGCACAGACACTTGACTATGACCCCACCTGCGCTCTGAACTTCAGCTCAGGAATCGCTACACCTTTTAGCTCTAGTGGGCATGGAGTTCAGGATAGATGTCCAGGTCAATGGCCCCTGAAGCTTATGAGGCCAGACAGGCCCCTCAGCCCCGTGGTCACAGTGGAAATAGCTTCCACTGGCAGCATTCAGGGACTGTCTCTCTGAGACTAGGTTTGCCCATCCAGCTCATAGGCATAAGATTCTTAGAGCCCTCTGCCAGGTGTGGGCTGTGGCCAGTCCTCCATTATAGTCCTAAGCTTCAAGTGATGCTAAAAGAGAGGAAGCCCCTTGGGTTGCTCCTTTAGCTAAATTTAAAAAAGAAAAGCATTGCAGGGTTGCTCATGGGGGAATCCCAGCACTTGGGTGGCTGAAGCAGGAAGATGGGTTCGAATCTGATGGCAGCCCAGCCTATGGTGAGTCCTAAGCCTCAGCTGCAGGATGGGACCAACTCAAACAAACAGCAACCCCCAAACACAAAGCTACAACCGCCCCTGGAATCTTTGTCCTTTGATTTAAACAGTATAGGCAACTAGAATACTTCATTTCTCAACTGCTCAATGCAGATCCAGTGTCCACACTTGCACTACGCTCTCTCCATGTGGAGCTGTCAGACTGGGGACCAGGACTTTGGAAGATAGCGCTAGTGACATCTGAGGGCATGTTGCTGGGTAGCTGAGGAAAGCAGCTGGCCAGGTTCCCTGGAGCCTTTGTTTCTGGGGGTGGTGTGGGACCCTCGCCGCTTTCTCAGTTGGGCTCAATGATCACGGAGCAAGGGGAGGAGTGTGGGAAGGACAGCAGGGAGGGGCAGGGCAGGTGGCTGTGCTCAGCAGAGCCATAGATGCTGACTAGAACAGAGCTCAGGACTGGCGGGTTCTGTCCGTGGCTCCTCTGTGCCCTTACTCCAACCCTAAAGATGTGCAGGTTAACCAAGGGTAGAAGACAGCCTGAGTGAGGGGCTGTTGGGGGTGGGACAGGAGGCAGGTGCTGTTCCAGTGTCCATAGTTGCCTTTAGTAGTAATTTTTGAGGTGCTGGAGCTCGAACCCAGGGACTCCCCCATGTTAAATGAGCGTCTACTCCAGGCCCTTCTTCTTTCACTAATTTACTCAGGCTGATCCTCCTATCTCAGTCCTGGCACTGTACGTCTGCACACCCACATTGTTATTATTTCTAATCAGTTGTGATAAGGACGACGAAGGGGTGGTTTTGAGCCTTGGGAAGTGGTCTGGGGAGGGCAGAAGCCAAGCAGAGGCTCCCCTATGCCTCCCTCCACAGAACCCTTTGACCCTGGCTACTTAAGGGTTTTGAAAGCAGAGATTTTCAAAGCCCCATTGATTTTTCCCCCCTCATCTGTCTCAGATCCTGCCTGGCTGTGAATCTCACACAAAGCCACCGGCTGCTCAGCGCTCCTGCTCATTTCCTGGGTGCTTTCTACTTTTCTGGCTGGATGTGCTGAAGTTTTCCCAGAATCCTATCCTGAACCTAGTACCCAGGAAGTGGGGGGCACATTCTTCCTAGACAAACTTTTCCTATTCTGAAGGTTATTGCAAGTGGAATCTAAGTGCCTTCTCCCCAGAGTCCAGAAAAAAGGGACCACAAATTCAGCTATGCTGGGATATGATTGCCGTCCAGTGGAGCCAGGAGGGAGGGTACATGCAGCTGCAGGTCGGCCTGGCTCTTGCTTCCAACTGGACTAGGGGAGGGAGTGAGGCCAAGCACAGGGCTTGTAATTCATTATCCCTAAAGACGGGGCCTGTTTCATATTCTTCTTCATCAAGGAGACAAGGGGGAAGGAAAAAAGACGCCTCGCCAACCTCCACTCCCTTAATAGCACCACTATTTGACGATTTGTTTGGCAACATATGGGTTTGCTCTTGTAAACTCCACTCTTAATAATAAAACAACAGATGGTGGAGGACGCCTTTCCTCCCAGCACTCGCTCGGGGGCCTAATGGGATGCTGGCGGCTGGGGCAGGGCTGCGTTCTCTGCAGCCCTGTGTTCCCCGCAGCGTCCCCTACCATGCGGCACCTTGGCTGCAGCGAGCTTGCACAGCCAGCCCCAGTGACTGCTATTTAAAAACCTGAGCAATTTTCTGGTGTGTGCACCGACTTGCTTTTCCCCCTGTCTGATTGATTGAGGCTGTTTGTCAAGTGCTGCCATCGAGTCGCTAAAAAGAAAGGTGCCCTGGGGAGCAGCTACAGATCGTGATGCAAAACTTCTAATATGTTTTATTGCAACTTGTATTTCAAAAAAAGGCTGGCGCCACAGAAGGCTTTGTCTGACACTGGCCTGGGAGTGTCTACTTGTGCCAGGGAAAGCACTGGGGACAATTAATGGCCAGGTAATTGAGGTGCAGAGAACAGCTTTTCTGCTCCCCCTTCCTGGCAGTCCCTGGGGGACCCACACCTACAAACTATAGAAGGGGCACCTGGAACTCTCAGAGCAGACAACCCAACGCCTTCCAGCTCAGTGAACTGGGGTCACCTCAGAGACGCCCACCTGGGAAATGGACTACCCTTCTATCAGGCTGATAAGGGGAATGGATGCTACAGGAGGGGGTTCCATCTTTTATTATGTGGGGATCAGGTTAGCCTTATGCTACTGGCTCCCACAGCCCTGCAGCTCAGCTAAGGCAGAGAGACCTACCTTTGCATACTCCATCAAATCATTTCGGCCCTTGAACCGGTTGTAAAACTCAGGCATCCTCCAGGGGGCAATGACCTAGAGGCAGGACAAAGGGGTCAGGACCTGGGTAAGGAGTCTCCTACTGTGTCCCTCAGAAGACTTAATCCTTGGGGAGTGTGCAGGGAGACTAAGGAAGGAATACTGGGGTGGTGGAGAGGCCTATATTCTGTGACCAAAGGGTTGGCATTCCTCTGGGCGTTGGTTTCTCCAGCTGAGACCTGAGTATCTGTATCTGAGGTAGGAGAGCCTCATGGTTTAGGGGCCTTGGTGAACAGAACTGGGGTGGGAGGGAGATAGCATAAGCATACTCCCCTCCATAAAGCTGTGGTGGGTTTGAAAGGAAGGGGATCGTGGAAGAGTCCCAGCTACATTTATTCCACTTGGGCCCTGCTGGACTTCAGGGTTAGGGACGGGTCCCCAAGAAGTAGAACTCAGCATATAACCCAGTGCAATGTCACTGGTGTAGTGGACACACACTGGACTGTGGCGGTACCAGGGTATGCTTCTCAACCCCAGCCCTAGACACAGTAGCCCTTAATCAGTTTCAACCCTGAGAAACTCCATGATCAACTGGGCTCCTAGAGACCAACCAGTTTGGGCCCCTGCCCCTAGCCCACCACAGCCCCTGGGCTTCACCTCTAAATAAAATTACTCTAGCCCCCCAGTGGCCGTGGGAACTCAAGGCAGAGGCTGAAGGATGGGTTCTGGCACCAGAGGCCCTGCAACACAGCTACTGTGCTGGGTGCCTTTGGAGGCCTGGCCTGTGGAGGTCAAATGTATCAGAGCTCATTACCGCTCACTTCCAGGCCAGTTCTGTCCCCAGGCTGGAGACAGCTGGCAATTCATGCAAGGGACAGGAAAAGACATGCCATCGAGGGGAAGAAGCCCAGGGGGACAGAGAAGGATTGGGTCTCCTGGGGCCACCAAGGAGCTCAAATTGAGGTTGTATAATGCAGAATGCAGCCACAGTCCACAAGACTGGGCCTGAAGGAACAGCACCACTAAAGGACATAAAACCCTCTTTGAAAGCTTGGAAAATGCTGATTCCATAACTTTTTGGATACATGGGGTTCAATAAAATATTAAACGGTTACATCACCTGATTTCTCTCTCTCTCTCTCTCTCTCTCTCTCTCTCTCTCTCTCTCTTTCTTTCTTTCTCCGTCTCCCTTTTCTCTCTCTCTCTCGCTCGCTCTCTCTCTCTCTCTCTGAGACAGGATCTTACTACATAGCCTTGCTGGCCTGGAACTCACTATGTAGACCATGCTAGCCTTTAATTCATAGCGATCTGCCTTCTTCTACCTTCTGGGTGCTAGGGTTAAAAGTGTGCATCTTTATGCTATTAAGACTGAAGCAACCAGGAAAAAAATTGGCAACACTGGGGCTGCATCTGAGGCCTGCATCACATAACCACCCAGCAAACACCAAAGGAATGAGTGAGTGAATAAATGAATGGGTGGGAGGGTGAGCAGACAGGGGCCCAGGTCAGTCAGGCTGGAGGGGCACAGGTGACTGAAGGGAATAGTCAGGTCCATACTCGTGTATACACCCCCAGGTGACATGCCAAAGGCAGGGGCAGTTAATCACTGAGACCCTGGGGGAGGGTCTGAGACATGGAGGGGTCAGCCACAAACATCCAGAAAGGGCCCCGAATGTAGCAACAAGAGACCGTTTTGACCTGTGACCAGAGATATCAACGCCTCCCTCCACCAGGTACCTGGACCACACCTCCAGGAATGGCTAAGAAGATTGCAACCTTCCTAGAGGCTGCCACCTCCTGTCTACTGGTGTACTTTACAGGAGCCAGGGGCACCAGGGAGTAACACAGAGAAGAGGACTCTGCCCTTGTCATTTCCTGGACCTCTGTGTCCTGCCCTCACTGTCCACTCCGTGGGGGGAGGAGCAACATCTTACCTTAATCTGGGGTGCCAATGAGTAGCAGGTGAGCTCAAAGCGGACCTGGTCATTGCCCTGGAACAGAGAGCAAGGGTTTGTGAGTGCCACAGTATGGCATCCTGGGATGGAAACAAAAATGCCAAAGGGCTCCCTTCTCACACGTGTGCCAGCCTATGACATGTGCAGCCTGTTTTAAGGTCAGAGACCAAAGATGCAGATATTGCTCCATGAGAGGGACCAAGACTGGACCCTGGGGCTTTCCCATGGGATGTGTGAGATAGAGTGCTTAGGGAAGACTGTGTGGTTGAAGGGGGGCTGGCACACTTGACAGTACAGAGGTGAGCCATGTTCACGCAGAGAGGCAGAGCACAGGCACATAGGGAGACAAGTCTGTGATGATGTGCACTGTTGGGGACATGGGGGAGGCTTGGAGGAATACATGTGTGTGGATGTATGCACAGCCTAGAGGATACATTAGGACTGCGCTGCTCCTCTGGGGCTGGAGACCTGAATCCCAGAGACTCCAAGCAGGAAAGCATGGGCCCCCAAGTGGCCCCAACCTTGTGTTTTGATCTTTCACACTACCAAAGTGGTGATTCCTGTCACTCCCCAAGTCTCAGTTTCCCCGATTCTTAGTGGTTACCTGCAGTGGGTAACAGAACTAAGTGGCCTGGGAGGGCCTTCTGCTTTCAGCCTCTTTCTACACAAACAGGGAGACTGAGGCCCAGAAGGGGCATGGTACCATAAGGTGAACAGATTAATGTCCTCCTGGGGCAGGGACAGACCCCCAACCACAGGTCCTCAGCACCCTGGAACACGTCCCACAGTCTGTAGATGGTCATCCTGACCACCCCATGAGACAAGAGAAAGAGGGGTAGGGTGGGCACAGGCTACCAGGGATGCTGTCTCTGTGTTGCCTGTTCTGCCTCTCACAGAGAGGGAGGCTCAGGCACTGTGAAATAATAGAGGCCCCTTTCGCCTACTGTGAAAACTGCACGGGCGCAGCCAGGCAGCAGTGGGAATAACATGTTATTTTCCAGAGTCTTGTCAGGTGGTGCGGAAAGCCTGGCTCCAGCCCCTCCCCACAGAGCCAGGAGCTGTAGGGAGCTGCTGCTGAGCCTCTTGGACACTGGGCCCCACAGCCAGCCTCAGTCCCCACACTGTGCACCTACTACTGCTGTCACTAGGACAGCCATAGGGGACAGTGGGCCTTTAACCGTGCTTGATCGATGAGCAAAATGAAGGCCAGAGAAGGGGAACCAGTGCCTAGGGTCACAAAGGCAATACATCCATCCTGAAAGCTCTCAGCTGGGCAGGTGCAGTGAGCCCATCAGCTCCATACCTCATGGGATGGGGCTGTGCTGTCCCCATCAGGGTGGGGATACTGAGACAAGGTGAGGAGAGCAGCATTTTCCCTGGGACCCACATGCGGCACCCTTAGGAAGCCAGAACATTCTAGCACAAAGCTCACATAGCTAGATTTGCACTGTGCATGGCTAAGTGCTACCTAGCCTGGCCACCCTTTCCCCATGGCTTCATGTTTCACCAACACAAAAGGCAGCCTGTGCTTCCCCAGCCAGGCCCGGCTGGGCTGGTGTCTGCTGACCCAGACACGGCAGGGGACAGAAACCCATCTGTTCAGAAGCTGAGAGCCTTGGAAAAGCTGGACAAACAGGCTTTCCTGATTCAAAATCTGTCCCGGGCAAGAGTCTAGGGCCCTGCATTCCCGTTACTGACCCGGGACTCCCAGTGCCGGGGTACTCCTAGTAGCATCCCTAAGGGGAGCGGGGAGGCAGACAGTGTCACATCAGACACATGTCCACACACTGGTGCGTGTGCACATGCGTGTACCATGCTGAGTGCCCATGGGAATGGGAGGGCAGGGAGGGAACACCTCCCATCTGTCCTGGGATAGCCCTGCAGATGGTGCCATTTACAAAACTACCCCCTGCACCCCCAGAGTCTTAGGCTCGTATTTCCTGGCTCTTCTTTCAAATCCAGGGGCTGGAGCTCTGTGCATTTTTCTGGATGGACGGGATCACACTCAGTTCAGCAACCAAGGATAAGAAATGATGCCTTTCTAAGTGACGCCCTTCCGTCCCCGGGCCTTTGCACAGGCCACGCCTGCGGCCTGGGTTACACTTCTTTCAATGCCACTGGCCAATTCCTGCTCTTCTGGGCTATTTGAACACACCCTGCCAGTGCTCCTGCTGGCTTAGTATCTCTCAGTCCCACAGTGCCTCCATCTGGCTGTACGGTTACTATCTACAGGGGATGCTAAGAGTGATGGACGTAAGAAGCAGTTGGAGAGCCCATCCCACGTGAAGGGATGCACTCTTGGCCTGGACACATGGGGAAGGGCCTAGGCGCAGGATGATGTGGTGGGATTGATATGTGAAACAAGCTTGTTCCTAATTTGAACTAATAAAAAATAAAAAAGAGTGATGGAGCAATATAAAATTTCAGTGCTGGGGTGGGAAGGACAGCTCAGCAGTTAAGATCATTTGCTGCTCTTGCAGAAGACATGGGTTAGGTTCCCAGCACCTACACAGTGGCTCAAAACCACCTGTAACTCCAGTTCCAAGGGATACAGTGCCTTCTTCTGACCTCTGTAGGTTAATTCACATGTGCAGTGCATATATATGCACCCACGCACACACACAGCCACATAAATAAAAAAATAAAAACATGGTACAAACTCTCAGTGGTGGGGACTAAGGCAGAAGGCTGGCAAGTTCAAGGCCAGCCTGGATCTATAGTGAGACTACTAAAACAACAAGGAGCTCGGCATGACTTTAAACCCCAGCACTCAGGAGTCAGAGGCATGGGTGAACTCAAGGCCAGGCTAGTCTACAGAGCAAGTGCCAGGCTAGAACAATGACCTCAGGCCATGGCTCCCAGGACCACCCAGGTCAAGAGCAGACAGCAGCAGGCTTGAGACACTGCAGCCAAGTGCTAAGCCCCAGCCTGATCCCAGGCCTCCTCTCCATTCTCTAGTTGTTAGAAATTGTCTCCAAAGACCATGGGCTGTGGGAGGACATGCGGTGTGTGCTCCTAGGTATATGTGTGGAGGCAGGCATAGGAGTAAACCCGTGAACACTCAGACCAGGGATAGCAGAGCCAAAGTGGCACTGGCTCCCCAGCAGTCTCACTGGCCTTCTGGCTGCCGGACTCAGGGGCCCTGAAATGTTTCAAATTTGGCCATTTCCCCTGTGAACAGTGGAGACAACCCCAAGCTCAATCAAAGCAGCTGTATAACACATATGGAAAGATCTAGAACCTTGCTGGTGAAGCCCTGAAAAGCCACAGCAGTGAACTCAAACCCTGGGTCACAGACCTCACTATCTCTTCGCCCAGTGCCCATAGCATCCTCAAACCTAAGCTTCTTTTGCCCTCTGGTGGTCATATGCATGTAGTACAGCATGTGGCCACTCTCCAGCAGCTCTGCCTCCCTCAAGACAGAACCAAAAGGAGATGCAGCCCTTGTTCTAACAGTCTGAATGTGGCCTGTCCGGTTCTGCATGGGACGGACATTCAGAGTCCTGATCCCAGCTTCAGCCTGCAAGCCTCCCAAGGAGTTCACTGCCTGCTCACTTCATGTGGAAGATGCTGTGGTTCGGGCTTTATCGGTCACTGATGCCTGTCCTTTACTCAAGACAGAACCAAAAGGAGATGCAGCCCTTGTTCTAGCAGTCTGAATGTGGCCTGTCTGGTTCTGCATGGGACGGACATTCAGAGTCCTGATCCCAGCTTCAGCCTGCAAGCCTCCCAAGGAGTTCACTGCCTGCTCACTTCATGTGGAAGATGCTGTGGTTCGGGCTTTATCGGTCACTGATGCCTGTCCTTTGCCTGTCCCCATTCATCTCTCCAAATGGCCCAGACAGATGGGGAAGCAGATACCCACAGGGAAAGTGTACACTGTGGAAACCATGGCGTTCCATCTGAGCCGAGTATGCAGCTCTGAGACCCAGGTCTGACCTTCACCTTTGCCACCATGGCTCTAAGGGAAGATGACATGTTCCATCCGAGTATGCAGCTCTGAGCCCCAGGTCTGACCTTCACCTTTGCCACCATGGCTCTAAGGGAAGATGACATGCACGGGCTGCACAGATAGCCAGCACCACCTACCTCTCCTCATGTGGTCCCCTAATACCCAGCTAAACAGACTGGGTGCCGGTGAAAACCAGGACCCTCTTGGGGTGTTCCCCTCTTCACGGTTACTACCCAGGAGGATTGTTCTTCATGTCCTTTGTGGAGAATTGCCTGAGCTGGGCTCAGACCCTGCAGACTTTCTGTGTCCCCAGACAGGCCATTTGTTGTCACAGCCTCTCATCTCAGGGACACACTGTTCCCTGGTTCTGCAATGTGTCTACCTGTGTGCATAGCCAGAGTACAGGTGTCATGAAGACAGGACGTGGTCTTCCTCCTGACCTTTGACCCAAGTCTCCTAACTTCTGACCATCAGCAGTCTTATCCGCCACCATTCTCTCTCTAGGGTCTCCCAAGGACAGGCAATAGACTTGAAGGACTCAACTATGCCCACCAGGTACCCTACCCGTGACATGCTAGACACAAGCCAGCTCAACTGGTATCCAAGGCAATGAAGGAGTGTCCAAGCTTTCACAACACCAGGTACCCTACCCGTGACATGCTAGACACAATCCAGCTCAACTGGTATCCAAGGCAATGAAGGAGTGTCCAAGCTTTCACAAACACCCAGTGCCACCCTGGTGGTCAGCTGTTTCCAGGGCTACTGCCAGGTCAGCCTTAGCTGCATGTCTTCTGTAGCCCTACCATTACCAGCCCCATGTCAGCAAGGTGGCAAGCCTCGTGGATTATGGACAGCAGAATGCTTTGGTAGCTATGTCCTGTCCTAGGCTATTGTCGTGGCATACACTGTTTGAGAACTTGTGTCTTTTTGTTTGTGTTTTGTTTTGTGAGACAGGGTTTCTCTGTGTAGCCCTGGCTGTCCTAGAATTTGCTCTATAGACCAGGCTGGCCTCAAACTCAGAGGTCTACCTGCCTCTGCTTCCTGAGTGCTGGACCGCTGCCCAACAGGAGCTGTGGTCTTAGGAGTCATAAATGCTGTTAGGAGCCCTGACTCTTGAATGCCACCATCTGGGGACAGAACTAGGAGCTGTCCTGCCTGTCTCCAAGGTTCATCTTTAGTCTGTGCTGCACCTGCAGGCAAATGTGCCATGTGCCAGGGCCATGGCAGGCATAGTGGCACATCCCTTTAGCTCCAGCACTGAGACGAGACAGAGGCAGGTGGTCTACAAAGAGAGTTCCAGGATAGCCAAGAGAAACCCTGTCTCAAAAAATAAAATAAAATAAAATAAAAAAGAGAGAGCGAAGCAGCCAGGTGCCAGGTCTGAGACAGAGGCAGGTGGTCTATAAAGAGAGTTCCAGGATAGCCAAGAGAAACCCTGTCTCAAAAAAATAAAATAAAATAAAAAAGAGAGAGCGAAGCAGCCAGGTGCCAGGTCTAAATCCCCAGATCTCTAATGTGACCTCATTTGGCTCGGTTTCGATGAGGCCATTAGGGTTTCTGTTATCCAGGAAGATCAGTTCTCTAGAGAAAGGACACAGAAACAGACATCTCACAGACACAGGACACCACTGAGACCTCTATGAGTCAAGGAATGGATGCCTAGGGTGCCGGGTGGCAGCAGTCTTGAACACAGTCCTTCTCTGGGCCTTAGGAAGGAGCAGGTCTTTATATTGCATCCTTGAAGTTCTGTCCTTCAGAACCCACCGAGCTCTCCAATTCTTTCCAGCCTTTCTATTACATCAATGGCAATATATGCTGTGACTTTATCTGGGGCTGATGTGTGTGAAACCTTGTGTCAGGTCTACCAAGTAGGTGACAAGGTTCCCATTGCAAAGCTGAGCACATGCAGACTGAAGGAATGAGCACTGCTGCTCAGGTAGCCCAGCCCTTCCCCCAGCCAGCTCTGTAATCCTCAGCAGCCTGCCTTCCCTTCCTCCTTCCAGTCACCAGATCCATCTGCCCTCCCTAGCCTTACCTTTCCCGTGGCGCCATGAGACACATACTTGGCCCCCTCTCGCTGGGCAATTTCCACCTGCTTGCGAGCTATGCAAGGCCTGGCCAGAGAGGTACCCAGGAGATAGCGGTCTTCATAGAGCGCACTGGACTGGACAGCTGGCCAGATGAATTCCTCCACAAACTCCTTGCTCACATCTTCAATGAACACCTAAAGGGAGTGGGCACAGCTGTGAGAGGGAGCCTAGCAAGGATCGGTGCTGAGACCAAAAGAGCTGAGGAGTGAGGGCGCTGCACACCAGTCCCTGTGCAGACACACTGGCTAAAGTTCACACTCATCCTGAGAGCTTTTCTTTCTGCCTAGATAAGGATGAAGCAGCCCCACCCTCCCGTCTCCTCCTCTCCCTCCTCTGGGAAGCCCTGAACAGAGGGAAATTCTCATGCCAGGCTTTGGTCAGACAGTGACTTGGGCCTGTGAGTCTCCATCCCTGAGTGATCTTTCTAACCTGCTTGTGGAGCCCTGCAGTGCCAAGCAACTGAAAAACTAACCTATAGAGGGATTAGTTCTGACCAGGCATTAGGCTGGAATGTCTCCTATTCAATCTCTAAGTAAAAGGGTTCAAACAGCAAGGTCACCCCACTAGAGCAGTTCAGAGATGGCATGGAGTGGGCCATCCATATTGCCTTCACCCAACACAGACACACCTATCAAAGGTTAGAGACACAGCCAGCACTGAGCCCAGCTGCTGCTTCCTGTGAAAAGGATGGGAGGATAGGTAGATGGACAGACAGCTGAAAGAGGGATGGGCAGATAGATGATGGAGGAGTAGATGGAAAAGAAGACAGAGAGAAAAAAGAGGAGTGGACAAACTAAAGAGTAAGTGGGGAGTTGGATGGATGGATGACAGGGTGAGGGCCGATGGACGGACTGATGGATGGGTAGGTTAGCAGGTAAGCAGATGGACAGATGACGGGTGGTATTCATACACTGAAAGTGGCACATTTGCTCCCACACTCCTGGAAGCAAGAGGGCAAACTGGAAGGGATGGACGTAGCGGACAAGAGCTCTGCTGCCCCTCCTGTCACAAACCCACCAGCCCTGAACCCTGCCTGTCATAAGTACCTTCTTGGCTCCAAGCTTCAGTGCCTTCTTCCTGGCTTCCTCAAAATCTTCCTTCTGGCCGATGTTGGCCTATGGAGCAGAGATAGAGGCCAGTAAGCCAAGGGGCACAGAGGGTGCAAGAGAATGTGAGGCTCCTGGGTAAACCTGGCCAGCCACCACCCACACGCAGCTGTCCCCAGCCAGCACAGAAGTGGTGTCTCATGACGGTGAGGTGGCAGAAGAAAGGAAAGGGCCTGCAGGGGGACTTGAGAGGCTGGGCCCCCAGCAGCTCATACTTGACCCTGTGTGGCTGGGTGTGCACGGCACTGGTTTCCTTGGGCTAGCACAGCTGCTCCTGACACCCAAATAGTTGGGAAACAGATATGTTTTGTAATTATCAATAGAGCTGAAGATTCCTCTGAGACCAGGCAATACTTGCCTGGCCCACCTTCCTGGCCATAGACAGGGACCAGCTTATCCAAGTGCCCTAGTGGGCAGCAGGCCTGAGTTCAGAGGCATTCAGTTTGCATATATAAAGTTCTACCGATGCACTGGGGCTCACTGCCCATCCCCACCAGAACCCACAGGCTCTGCTCTGTCTCAAGGCCCAGCTGGAAGTCCCTGTCTGGGGTTACCTAGCTTTCAATCTGCCAGGTGGCAAGTCTGGGGTCTGAAGGGCTAAGACCACCCTGCCTGATATGCACACACCTGCCACTCACAGGGTGGCTTTGGGCAAAGGGCTTTCCCATACCCTTACTCTCCCAGTCCCGTGTAACCGGTCAACTGACCATACATGGAGACCCCTCCTGTCTGAGGCTAACTTCACTGTTCAAAACAGCAGTCTCATGTCCTCAAAGGATTTCTTATCTGCTTGTTTTTCTGGGAGGATCCTTCCCCAGGGATGGTGGGAACTATTACTTCCCCCACCCCCCACAGACCTATGTTCCCAAGGTGCAGCCATAGAGCAGAATTCCTGGAAGGCCTGACTCCAGCCAATGGGAAGAAACTTGGGCTCTACTACCAGTGTGTGAGCCTGAGACTGCTGGGTTACGACTGCTTTGCTTGTTGCAGAGAAGCCAAATGAAGTCAGGACAGCTCGGGACAGTGCCTGGATCTAGCCCCGCTGAAGCCTTCCTGCTCTATGAGAGGCCAGAACTGCTTTTTGACTTTTGTTCGTTCTTTTGCTTTCAGCTGATCTAGGCTGGAGTCCAGGGCTTCTAACCCAGAGTCTTGACTAGCACAGCTGTGGAGCAGGTTCCAAGACTGCTGAGGATCCTGAGTTCAGTGGACTCAATAAGTGATGTCTGTGCTAGGCCCTGGGTACGAAAGTAGCATCAGGCACCAAACTCTCTGATGACCCATTTGCCATCCTAGAACTAAAGGCCACTTAGAGGGAGGCTACATGGAGAGGCCAGGACTGTGTGCCATGTCAGAAGAGTTATGCCTGTGCCCCTGCCATCCTGTCACCTTCCTCAGAGCCAGCTTCTCTGGCTCTGAGGGGCATCTCAAGGCCAAAGAAATGGCGGCAGCTCAGCAAGCCAGAGGCTGATTCCCTTCTAGATCAGGACAGTTGCACGGGGAGAGAAGCAAGGTTTGGTGGAGGGATGGTGACATGTGGGCAGCAGGGAAAGAGAGTGACAAAGGGCAGGCTGGAAGGGCCGAGGGACCCACAGGCATGCCAGGCACCTCCTCACCAGGTAAGCGATGACATCATAGCCTTGTTCCTTCAGCCACACAAGGATGCAGGAGGTATCCAGGCCACCACTGTAGGCCAGAACCACGGAGCCCTTGCTGGACATCTTGTCTGGAGAAGCATGAAGGAATGTGAGTGCTATGTGTCAGGTCAACCCTGCAAAGTCCCTCCTGGCTCCGGTCCCAGTAGGGGAGGCCTTGGGCAGCTTATCCCTTGAACAATAAACCACTGGGAACAGAATGTCCACCTTCCTGCATAGACCCCTCCTGGGAGCCCCTGACCTGACTGCTCTGCACACATCCCACCTCAGATCCAAGAATGCTGACAGCAGGGATGGGGGCCAGTGATAAGGAGGCAGATCTGGGAGCCATGCCCACCAGCTAGAGAGAGGCTGGGAGGCTGGACCAAGGCCAGCACCTGAGGGATGTGTGTGTCGGGAGGCAGGGAAGGGGCCTGAGCTGCATCCACAGGCCTCTGACATGCCCCCTTTAGAACTGCTCCTTGCCAAGCAAGATGTGTCAGACAGGGCCCTGGGGGCCTCGTGTGTATCACCCTGAGCCTTCACAAGGACCCCAGAAATAGGTGGACAGTGGAGTTTCAGGGAGGTCAACGATCAAGGGCATAGAACAAACAGCTTGAGGTCAAAGAGAAAGCCTGATTTTGGAACTTGGCTTTTTGCCTAATAAGTGATGCTGCCCCCTGCATTTGGGTAGAAAAGAAGCCATGGGCTAGGCTATCTGGTCCTCTCCCTTCTTCACTCATTGGAATTCAAGGTGGCCTGTCACCCTGTCTGTTTTCAAGGAGTGATAACTCTGAGGGACCTGAGAGACCCCCAGTTCTGTCAATTTAAATCCATAGGGGCTCAAAGTCTCTTGTGTGCAGACAGAGAAACAGGCCCGGAGAGTGGACAGGCAGAGTACCTCTCCATAGCTGGGGGTCTTTCTCAGCAGCTTACCACAATACAACCATTCTTCAGCTAACAGAACCTTCCAGAAAGTACTATGATTGTCTTGTCTCCTGGCCATTGCAGCTGTTTCCTCTGTCTAGAAGGCTCCTCGAGAGCCTTCTAGTATATTCCAGTATGCCATGCATGTGGCCCACCATGTTGAAGAGGAAACTCAGCCACCACCCAGGTGACTATAATATGCCAGTAGGCAGCAGGGCCAGATTTGGACCCAGGCCTCAGTGTTTCACATTTCCAAAAGGGCAGTTGTCCTCAATCAGGGGTCACATCTCAGATATCCTGCATATATTTATATTACAATTCATAACAGTAACAAAATCACAGTTTCTGAAGTAGAAATGAAAATAATTTTATGGTTGGGGGTCACCACAACATGAGGAACTGTATTAAAGGGCCTCAGCATTAGGAAGGTTGAGAGCCACTGCACTAAGCAAAGTCGGCTAGGGTCCTTATTAGATGTTAGCTGGGAAGGGTGATGGACAGCCCTGCACAAACCTAGGGAATTCAGCAGGCTCACCTGGTTGCCACCACTGCCATGAAGACTGTTGATTGCTGCCCCTTGGGCTCCAGTGGCCTTCCCAGACTGCATGTGGACTTTGGTTCTTAAGCCAAGACAAGTTCCCCACACATCCCTCAGGCCCTCTTTCTAGTCAGCCCCAGATGAACCCAGGAGGTTTCTCGAAGGCCCTAATGCCCTTAGGACTTAAGGAAGCAAACACCTCAGAAACAACATGGTTGGTCCAGGGGCTGATTCTCCTTGCTGCTGACAGGCTTCAGCAGGCAGCAGCTGCCTGCCCATGCCCAGCCAGCTGCCCTGGACCTGGGCTGCCGGTGACTCAGCAGGCCCTGACCCTGGGACTAAAGATGGTGCCCATGGCAACTGCAGCTAGGCAACTGGCCATAGAGGATGGAAGGAAGGAGGGAGATGGGACGCAGGAAAGGCCAAGTTGGGAAATACCTGGGATTTCAGGTACAGGTTCCTGCAGTCTGTAGTCTGTCTTTCTGGTCTGATGAACGACTCTGTAAAAGCAAATGTGATGTTGAAACTCCAAATCTGGCCCTTGTGGCCACTCGATGCTGTAAGTGACCTACTTGAGTCAAGAGACATGGTGCCGAGGATGGCATCTAGTCTTGTGTCTATTAAGCATGCACTCTACCACTGAGCTGTACCCCAGCCCCTAGCTAGCATGCATTTCAATCATCCAGTTTGTCAAGTTTTGTATGCATCACCTAGGAAGCCATTGTCACAATCCAGACAATAAACACATGAAAAGAAGAGGTAATTTAGATGGCAAAGTACCTGCTGCACAAGTTCAGATCCCTGGCAACCATTTCAAAATACAGGTATGGCTATAACCCCAGAGGTAGAGACAGGCAGATCCCTGGAATTCATTGGTCCAGACAAATCTGTAAGCTCTGGATTCAGTGGGAGACCATGTCTCAAAAAGCAAGGTGGAGAAGGCTGGAGAGGTGGCTCCGCAGTTAAGAGCACTGGCTGCTCCTGCAGAGGACCTGGGTTCTATTCCCAACACACACACACACACACACACACACACACACACACACACAGAGGATGCGCACCTGCCCATACTCCAGTTCCAGGGGATTTGCGCCCTCTTCTGGCCTTTTGAGCACTGCACACACTGGGTACTCAGGCATACTCAGTCAAAACACCACACCCATACACCCATAATACATGGACACCCCGTGAGCACTGCACACACTGGGTACTCAGGCATACACCTGAGTATACTCAGTCAAAACACCACACCCATACACCCATAATACATGGACACCCCTCTGCGGGTGCCAGAGGGAAGAGCTAGGCAAAGGGTGGTAAGGGAGAACTCAGACATCTTAGGGTATCACAGGGAATAGATGCTGCCCAAGATCCACCTAGATCTTTAATGGTGATTTCTTCCTTTCCTTCCAAGGACACCTGGGTCCAAGAAGGGTGAAAGGGGGGTAGGGCTCCATAGAGACAGATCAAACATATGCATTGGCCTGCCCTGCCTCACTGGTCCCATGGAGTGTTTCCTCCCATCAGGGCACATACCCACGGAACTCTTAATCTGCTTCCGCCATGAGCTGCCTGGAGCAGGTAGGCACTGAGCACTTAGATGCAGATATACTCTTTGGAGTCAGCTCTTTGTTGGGGGGAAAAAGACTAAGATGCCCTGAAACATGACTTTTATGTTCACCTCCTCCTGCCAGGCTGTGTGGGTATGGACTCTGGGAGCCTAACCTGGGGCTGTATAGTGTGGAGGGCTGTGTCCAGCAAGGACTGTGGGCCTCTGTGTGTGTGTGTATGTATGTCTAGAAATTAGTCAGCACCTTTGTTAAGGAGACTGCAGCCTCAAAAGCTAAATGAAGCTATGGCCTTGACTTGGGGAGGAGACAGGAAGCAGCACAGGGGCATGAAGTGTTAAAGGGCATGCTGGAGATGAAATTCAAGTGTGGGGCCTCTCAAACACTCCGTACCACTTCTGAAGATAACCTTAGCTTACCCTGACTCTCTGAGACTCAATCTAAAAAGCCCTTGGCTCAGGACTCTGAGCTTCCTTCCCAGGGAAGCCATGCAGTGAGGCTGACTGGACTGAGAAAAAGTACAGAACCCACATCCCCAACTCCCAAGCTCACAAAGCCAGGATAGGCAGCCCTCACATGACATACACAGGCAAGAGGACAAATGGCTAACGTCAAGTTGGCTGCCTGCTTGTTTAAGTTGGCAAGGTAGGTGACATTTTTTGTGGCTTCAGCCAGAGCCAAGTGGCCAGTGCCCAGGAAACACATATCAGGCCAGCCAGAGTACTCCTCAACACTCAGGAAGCTTGTGCGGCTTTAAAATACCAGAGCTAGATTGACAAGAGCAAATGCATAATTCATTCACATGTACGTTGTCTGCAGGTACAGACTGCCACTGCCATCTAGTCAGCTGGGGACCCAAAATGGAACGTGCCCAGCTCACAGGCTTGTGGCGTGAAGCCCAGGCTGGGCTCACTCCCTCGCTCCTAGGATGTTTTGCCCTTCACTTCCTGTCCTGACAGCTTGTTACCAGGCTACAGCTACCTGGGCTGTTCCTCCACCCCCCTGTCCAACTGATGACATCTTTATTCATTTATATTGGTTTGTCATTCCTTTCCTTTTAAAAGCCTAACTGTACCTGGCCCAGCTTCCCTGAGATGAGTCTAAGTTCACCTCTCCCTCTTTGTGTTTGAGAAAGCTCGTCTGCAATCCCAATACTGATTAGCAGGAGGCGCACTGTCCTCCTATAGCAGTTGTTCTCAACCTGGGGGGGTTATGACCCATTTTGGGGGATGTCCAGTGACCCTTTCAGAGAAGCCAAATATCAGATATCCTGCATATCAGACATTTACATTGCAATCCATAACTAGGTAAATTACAGTTATAAAGTAGCAATGAAATAATTTTATGGTTGGGGGGTCACTACAACATGAGGAACTGTTGTTAAAGGGTCTCAGCATGAGGAAGGTTAGAACCACTGTCTTATGGGATCCAGCCTAAGTTTTCATTTGATAGACTTGGGTTTCTGATCTTCATGCTCCAAGCAGGCAAGTAGGGAGACTAACAAGGTTTTACTAATCTCTGGTGAGAGGCACTCAAATCCTCATCTAGTCTAACTGTCCTGGCAGGCATGAAGACACTAGTATCCGTTCCTTTGAATCTCAGACTACTGAAACAATGAACCCCAAGGAATCAGAATTTCCCAGGAATGGAAAAGCTGAAGCACTGGTGAGAGCCAGAGAAGAACCTTTCTCCCAAGAGGCCAGGCATGGTGGTGCACACCTTTAATCTCAGTACTCGGAAGGCAAAGGCAGAGGGATCTCTGTGAGAAGATATCACACAGTTCTGACCACTTATCTAGAGCTCAGGTAATGATCACCAGGCCACACCTTGAACAGGATTTCTCAGAATGCAGTGGCTCTTGCCTGCAATGCCTCTTGCCCCATTTAAAACTAAACCTGTGTCAGGATGACAAAGACAGACTTGGGAGGTAGTCACTGGACCTCTTTGTTACTCTTTCTAGTGTGGCTACATTGAGTACTTTGGGGGGAGGGGGCTGTTGGTTTTTTTGAAACAGGGTATCTCTGTATCGCCCTGGCTGTCCTGGAACTCACTTT